ATTTCATTAGTAATACCACAAGCACATCTAGTTAATGCATTAAATATGAAAAGATTTGCTGAAGAGACTCAATTTATTAATGATTCAGGAGAACTTCCTAAAGCATCCTATTTGGAATTCATTTATAATTTACTTCACAGCTTAGCTTCAGTTCCCACAGGGCAAATATTTATCAAATATTACTCTGTTTTAAGTCCTCCTTATATATTTTTTGTAGAAGAATATTCTTTGCCCCCAAATACACTTTAAAGCAGCCATCCATCTACTATGGTTTAATGTGCATTTCCTGATAAGATGAAAGTAATGGGCTTTTGGGTACAGCAGAGTGCAGTGTGCAGCCAAACAATAGAATAATTACTAAACATAATAGCTGGCTATAAATTGAACAAGAAACACTAAGTTCATTATAAATATTTATTAGAGAGTAGCTATGGTAATTAATGAGCCCAGTAATAAACACAAGGGGAAAGCGTCACCTTAATACCTAGTCCTGGCAAATAAATCCTCACGACTGATCTCCTGGGGAGCCACACTGGGCGAGATGGATAGTGAGACAGCTGGCCTGACTAGCAGAGTGGTTTTTGAAGAGACATGACCCTGAACCACACTGCTGACTGTCCCATATCTAAAACACTGACAAGTTTCAACAGCTTATCACTGTTGGGAGTTAAATTCTAAAACGCGGAGAACCTTTGCTTGAAATTGAAAATGAACATCTAGCTCCTTAAAACACTTAAAAAGTTCAAGTTACTTAAGCACTCCTTATCAACAGAGCAGAGTTGAAAACTTCTTAAAAGAGTTGCTGTGAAGATAACAATATGGTGAATAGAGTTTAGCCAAGTGCTCAGAACAAGCTGCATTTGCCAACAGAGAATTTTACTCTATTATTTCAGTTTCTATCACTCCTGTTAGCTCTGCCACTGCATCCAATGTGGGCACATCGCCTATTACCGCAAAAAATGAGCAACAGTTGCTTCATTCTTCAACCTTCTCCTAACCAGAATAATATTAGCAGGCACATCCAAGAGTGCTAACTCATATTTTTTGAACTAAGGAACACAAGGCATACTAGTATAGCTTAAAAAACAAAAGGAAATACAAATAGACAGTAACAAGAGTAAGAAAGATTGTGGAGAAACCAGAACCCTCACACACAACTTAAAGGAATATAAAATGGTAGTCATTTCAGAAGGAATATTGGCAGTTTCTCAACATGTGAAACATAGAGTTAGCATATGACCCAGCAATTATAATTCTAATATATGTTCAAGAGTATGAAAGCACATGTCCACATGAAAATGTACACATATTCATAGTAATGGTAATCAAGAGAGCCAGAAAGCAAAAACAACATGCATATCTACCAACTGGTGAGTTAAAAAATAATTGTGATGTATCTATACAACAGAGTATTTATATGAAAAATGGAATGAAGTACTGATAGACACTCCAATAATGAGGAACCTCAAAAACACTCATCAAATGAGAGAAAACACTATAAGAAGTTCAAAATTATAGAACTGTGTTCATTTGAAATGCCCAGGACAGGCAAATCCAGAGACAGAAAATATAATGGTGAGAACTAGGGCTTAGGAGGGAGAAGAGAGGGCAGAATTCGGAGTGACCATTAATGGGTATGTTTCTTTTTTAGGGCAATAAATATGTTTAAATTAGTGGTGATACTTGTACTTTGTTAATATATTTTTTAAAAACTATGGAGTTTTATGAAAATATATTACAAAAAAAGTATTGTAAAATAAAGGTAAAGCATATAAAGGCAATTACATAGTTGGGGAGTGGCGGAAAAAAAATGAAATCATATTTGCATGGACACTCATGCTTTGCCAGAGAATATTAGTACCACTCACAGAATTCTTCTCAGGAAAGGCAGTATGTGCTCCAGGACAGAGCAAAGAGGAGTGCTGTCATGGTGGCACCTATTCTCCCCATCCAACACATTTGCTTTCCTAAACTAGTCTACTTAGGCTAAAAAATAGAACATGTAAGTAGAAGAGTGGGACAGTCACAAGCTCCAGAGCTGAAAACTTCTATATAACAGCAAGGACTTACAGTGCTGTTCCCTACTATATCAGTTTATGATCTTGAACCAGTGACTAACTCTGGGTCTCAGTTTCCTCTATAAAACAGATATGTAACAGTACCTTTTCTCAAAGGTTTGTGTTGAGAATACATTAATGTGGATAAAGCCCTAGAACAGTGTCTAAGTCAAAGTACCATCATCTGCTGTATCATTGCCAGGACTTTTGTTGTAGGGGCAAGCCTATTGCTTTCCAAGCACACCTGGGGATCTATCCCATCATAGAGGTTCACTCAACAGGGAACACCAGTCAAACTCCCTGTAATTTTCACTTTAGAGCACAGGTTTATTCTTTGCCTATTTGCTGATGCAAGTTCTTTCACAAGGCCCTTTCAGTATAAAGAAAATGAGCATATCAGCAGAGCAGCTGAGGGTACTTTTACTGACCAATGATAGCAACAGCTATTGCTAAACACATGCAGTTAGACGGTTCCAGGAATCCTACATATACCACACTGAATATTCACAACTAGCCTGTAAGGAAAATGTTATTAACCCCATCACTATTGAGAAGTTGAAATAAGTGGAGTAATTTCACCAAGTTAACCACACAGTTAAGTGAGAAAGGTGAAAACCAAACCAAGATTAACCCTATGGTACTTCCCTGTACACTCTGCTGAATTATATTCTCAACAGAGGATTAGTTAGGAAAGGGTTAAGAGTGAGGAAAGAGCTTACACATATTCAAGTAATAGTCAAAAACACAAGGTACACTCAATGTCTCCTATTCCTCCACCCCTTCATTCACACAGATATTAAGAATCTACTATGTGTCAGTGATTAAACAGTGTTAAAGAGATAATGGCTTCATAAGAGAAAATCACAGAATGATATAATCAACACATTAATTGAGGAATATGGGAATTACTGAGCAAAGAGGAAATCAGAAAGTCAAAATACTTTCTCACCTGTCAAAGTCCTTCAAGCCTCCTTACAGAAGAGCTCAGAGAAAATCTAGACCCTTATTTTGATGCCTCTCCTCCCTGAGGGCCACTGAGGAATGGAATTTTGAGCTAGTACCTCTGACATCTATATTTAGACAATGGTCATCCCATAAACCTCTCCTCTACCTCATGGGGCAAGATAAGTATTTACACCTCTGTGAAACTGACTGAACCAAAGTACACAGTGGGGGTCCATGATAAGCTCTGCCAAAAGGCTGGCAGTCAGAAAGAGTCCAGGGCTGTATATGGGCCTCAAGACGTTTAAGTCTATTTCAAACTGGTACATTTTGATAGACTACATGGTGTATAAGGCAGCCACTTCCATAAAGCTTAATTTACCCTTAAACCATGGAGGGGCTTTTACTGTACCAAGGATCATAGATAAAATGATTCTGGCTCTAATCCTTTCAGAAGTACCAGATATTTTTCAACTCATTTCTTCTAATAAGGATGAAGTAATTTCCATGAAAGAAAAAGAATAAGGAGAAAAATGAAACGTTGCTTTGGAAGGATCAGCTAAGTGTTTGAGATTCTAAAAGATCAATGCTGCAATGGTAAATAAGAAATATAATAAATTCACTTGAGGGGCTAAAGTGTTTGAAATAATATTTTAAGGTAATAGGTTAATTTGATATTTTCACATAATAAGCTGGCAACAAATGATCAACTGAAAACCGGAATGCATTTCTTATAAATACCAATAAAACAGCCCTTTAATAAAAATCTAGATCAGATTTTGTATGTGATTAAAACTGAAATGCAATAAATTTAAAATGAAAGTTAATAAGTAAATATGACAATGATAAATACGAAACAGCTATAAAGCATTTATGATTCCCAGAGTCATTACTATACAGAGTCCCATATGGGTAAACAATGAAGAGTCAAAAAAAAAGACCCTGAATGATATCCTTACAATTAAATTTAAAATAAAACATTAATAACAAGGTATTACAGAGGGAAATAGCTACATGATTCCTGAAACCAGTTATTATTTTATTTGTCATAAAGACAAAGAACATGGCCAATATTTGCTCTTGATGATCTATGGCAAAGCCTGACACTTGTCTCTAAATTTTACAAATATTGTAACTGTATAAAAAGAATTATTCAAATTAAAAATAAATGAAATATCTTTTAAATCATATCAAACAAATACATCTTTTAATATAATGCCTATTAAAATTAATTTACTTCATTTTATTATAAAAATAAACTGCTTGGATGAAATCATTTTTTAACTATTATGCTGCACAGGATTTAACAAACTCCACAAATGCTCTGAGCTCTCTGCATAAATAAGATAGAATTATTTCACTTTAGGAAAACTACATTCCAAATACATATATGTTTAAAATTTCTTCAACAAAGACAACATAGAAATCTGTTCATCAAATCCTTAATTCATCTGTTTCTTTTTTTAGCTATGATGACTAAAGTGCTTTTAAATTTTTTTAATCAAAAAAGCAGGAAAAAAAAAGACTTGAATGTGCATAGCAATTATATAAACAATTTCAGGAAAATTCTGATAATGCCAACAAAAAGAAGGCAACATCTTTTTAAAAGAAAACTGACAGAAAATCCAAGTAGAAATGCAAGAGTATCTTTCTCAGAGTCATGTCCAACCTACAAACATCCCACTTCACATAGGGAGAGGCTGAAAGTCTCTCTACCCAAGGACATGAGGGGAAAGGAAGCCAGGTAGAGTTTTTGAGTGCACCTTTGTAGCCGGCATCCTGTGAGTTGCACAGCCTCTCGTCTCAGTGATCCTACTAGTTCACATCCCATATTGGCTATGTTCAATTTCTGAGGTCAGATCCACAAAGGCTTCTCCTTAGAAAACTGCTCTAATATTGGAATTAAAAGCTGAGGAAGGTAAAGGAAAGGACTGAATGGGGGAAGCAGAAGGAATTGAGGGGCAGATATGAATATAAAAATACATTAATTAAGACATGTACCTTTACTCTTTGATCATCAACATCTATAATGGTAGCAACACGAATTAACTGCGGGTTTCGTTTATCCACAGCTTCCAGTTTCATATTTGGTAGAAAGCCATGTGGTGCCCTCTGAAACATTACAGGTGCAACATGTCATGCAAAGTCCAGAAATTCAGATTTCTTACTACATTTTTCCTAATGTTGTGTCTTTGGCTTAAACATACAGATCTTTAAGACAACTGGAATTTACTTTTAAAAACATCTGAGATTTTATGAGTATTTTTAATCTAGTGTTTCAAAAGTCTACAAGTAAAAACAACTTTTTGGTAATTTTAGAGACTAAAAAATACAAAGATTAAATTAAAAATTTATTAATGATCAAGTCAAAATTAAAAAAGGTTCTTCCTACTGTTTTTGTATTAGTTTAGATTTTTATTTTTTATCAAATAAATTAAGATATTGTTTACTATTCTCACTGCCCAGTTGGGACTTTGTAGCTTCAGGCAAATTTATTTATTTAATAAATCACTCATAAAGATAAACATGATGTTTATTAAATATAAAGTTTAAAGTATGCTTAGGTAAGAGATGAATATGTTCAGATTTTAAACACTTTCATATCAAATCGCAATGTAATTTAAAACCATAAGCTACTCTTTTGTCATTTTACCTGAAATATATGAGTGTTGAACTGTGTTGAATTTTGTTTTTTGTCTTAAAATGCTGAGATCAAGAGTCCGTAGTGAGGGAAATGCAGGCAATAAAGAAAATAGACTGGGAAGACTCTGGGTCTACCAACACATTGAACTAAGAAAATTTAACTGTCAAAAGTTAAAGGATAACAAAAACAAAACAACATAAAAACAAACTTCTCCAATAGTAAGTTAGCAGAAAGTTTCACTTAGAGAAATATTACATATAAAAAGTACACAATTGTCTTTATGGAAATGAAAGAATATTGAATTCCTCAAGTCTAGAAATGGCAACAAGAAAATAAAACTCTAAAAATGTATGAGCAGCAAAAATTAAATCATTCTTCAGTATCTGGTATGTTTCTCTACAGCTTTTATATAAATATTTTCTTCTTAAATACATTATTGCATCTACTAAATGAACTATGCAGACAAATATGCTGGGTGTGGTGGTGGTACACGCCTTTAATTCCGGCACTCAGGAGGCAGAAGCTGGTGAACCTCTGTGAGATCAAGGCTAGCTTAGTCTAATAGCAAGTTCCAGGCTGGCTGGGACTACAGAGAGACCCTGCCTCACAAAAAAAGAAAAGAAAAGAAAAGAAAAGAAAAGAAAAGAAAAGAAAAGAAAAGAAAAGAAAAGAAAAGAAAAGAAAAGAAAAAAAGGCAAACAAAACATTTCCTGGAAGTTGGTAAAGCTATATGCAAAGATCACAACCATAATTTCACCTACTTTATTATGTTACCATCAATACCCAAAAAGTCCCAGAGAAAGGGTCACTGTGAGTTTCCAACTAATCATACTCAGAGAAATGGAGTTCCACTGCCTCCATCAGCAGCAGCAGATGAGGTGCTTTTCATAGTGCATCTAGATGGTTCAACTGTGCTTTCCAAGAAACACTCATCATCTATGCTGCTATATAGGAATAGTAACAAATAAGTCACCTACTCTGTATTGTTAATTAACAGCAAAACAAATTAGTTATGAAAATATTACCTGAATTTAAAAGAAAAAAACCACCAGAATAATACAGGAAATGACAGCCAGACTCTCCAAGGACATTTTGAAGGTGAGAGTCTGTGCTCACATAGAACTTACCATGTTCAAAACTTCTGCAGGCACTGCATTAGTTTGAGTAGCTTCCAGATAGTGTTTCCAGGAAAACTTCTTTGGATTAGGATATCCTGAGAAAATATATACACATATATCTGTCAAAAGATTACTCAGAGATTCCCACGTGCTAAAAAAGCTTTATAATAGCCCTGTTACCCAAAGGCACACACTTTATCAGGCCCTATGCTCAGAACTTTATGTTTTATCTGACATGTCTTGTGCTTGCCTCTGAGAGGACTAAGGTGAATGAACGTAAGTACTCATTCACTGGCTCACTCATTCACTCATCAAAGTCAAGCAGTTTTGTCAAAGTTAAATGGCAGAACCAAGGGATAACAAGGACTGACTCCCATGTTCCAGGTGTCTTAGAAGTTTGACAATCAGCCATCTGACTTCACAGTATAAATCTGAAAAAAAGACTGAAAATCTTTCCCTCCAATAATTCTGTATCTAGTAAGACTTTATTCTCATTATTACATCTGTGTATTACAATGTTTCATAATGGATGTATTTATCATTACATTTTTACTTGATTTCTTTTATGGTTTTAAGAATGGATTGTACTATGTAACCCAGCCTAGTGATCCTCTTGTCTCCACCTCCTGAGATCTGGGACTATAGGCATGGGCTACCATAACTAGCCTGTCACTGATTTTTAAGAATATGTAGGCTTACATTTAAATAAATAAATAAATAAATAAATAAATAAATAAATTTTTCTTTCTGTTGTTGATTCCCACAGAAAATCTATGTGCCTGATGATTCACCTTTACGAAGATGATATATGTTTGACATATCACAAAAGTCTTTTTTCAAGTTTCTTTTGACTCAGTACCTTGATTGTCTTCAGGTCTGCATTCTTTTATTATAAACTGCTTTTGTCAGAGGTCTATCCACACTGTGTTATTCTCTTTTTTCTTTCTAGTAGTAATTATACTTATTTGTCAGGTCTATGTTTACCTTTTACTTTCCTAATTATTTTGTGAGCTATTTTTCCTTAATCTCTATTAATTTTACAATTGTTTTGCTGAACTGAATAGCAAACAATTTCTTCATTTTCATAAATAATAAAAGCAATTAGCACTATGAACCTGTCAATGTTGTCACTGAATGCAGTATTACAGATAATGTGTTTTCCTCTTTCATGTTCAGAATTTAAAATCTGCAACTGTCCCAAATGAATTATTGTCTACATATTGAAGAGATATTCTAGGTGGCTAATTATTGTATTTAAATATTTTTAAAATCTACTTTATTGCATATGGTAATTCAGAATTTCACATGGCATTTTTGATTTGGAGATGTGAAGATTTCTTTTTGGTGTGACATGACACAAAATCAACAAAAAGTCAGCATGTGACTTTTCAGTGCAAATGATGAAAGTCAGAAGAGCCTGGATCAAAGTATACCCAGTTCTAAATGACCACAGATGCCAACCTAGAATACATTACCCAGTCAAAATGTCTATTACAGTTAAAGGGGAAAGAAAAATCTTCCATGACATAAATAGGTTGAAAGAATGTCCACAAAACCAGCCCTTCAGAGAATTCTTGAAGCAATACTAAGAGATGAAGAAAGGAACGTCTATACCCAAGGGGTAACAGAAAGAAACTAAAGGAACGTATAACTGTGGAAATGCACAGTTAGACCAAGAATGCAGACAGAAATTAAAACAACAGGAATCAATACATATCTTTCATTAATTACTTTAAATATCAATGGACTCAACTCCCCAATTAAAAGACACAAGCTAGTTGAATGGATTAAGAAACAAAATCCATCCTTTTGTTATCAGCAAGAAACCAATCTCACGTTCAAGGACAGGCACTACCTTAAGGTAAAGGGATGGAAAAAAAAAATATTCCAAGCAGAAAAAAGCAAGAGTTGCAATTCTAATATCTGACAGAATAGACTTCAAACTAAAACTAATTAGAAGAGATAAAGAGGGCCACTTCATTCTGATCAAAAGAACAATTCATCAAGAAGATATTATAATCGTGAATATATATGCACCAAACTATGGTGCACCCAACTTCATAAAAACAGTACTACAGGACTATAAGACCCAGATTAATCCCAACTCATTAATAGAAGGAGACATCAATACCCCATTGTTTCCATTAGATAGGTCAACAGGACAAGGAATAAACAGAGCAAAATCTGATTTAAACAATGCCATACATCAAATGGACCTAATAGAAATCTACAGAATATGTGATCTGAGCACCAAAGAATATACCTCCTACTCAGCACCTCATGGAACCTTCTCCAAAATCAACCATACACTGGGGCACAAAACAAGCCTCAACAAATACAAAAAAAAAAAAAAAAACTGAAATAATTCCATGCATTCTCTCAGACCACAATGCAATAAACCTTAAAATCAACACTGGAAGAAACCCTAGTAAATACACCAACTCATAAAGATTAAATAACGCACTCCTGAATAATGAGTGGGTCAAAGGAGAAATTAAGAAGGAAATAAAATATTCCTGGAATTCAATGAAAAGGACAGTAAAACACAACAAAATTTCCGGGACACTTTAAAAGCAGTTTTTAGAGGGAAGTTTATAGCACTAACTGCCTGCATTAAAAAATCGGAAAGAACACAAATAAATTACTTAACATTGCAACTCAAGGCACTTGAAAAACAACAAGAAATGAAACCCAAACCCAGCAGACAAGAAGAAATAACAAAAATCAGAGCAGAAATTAATGAAATAGAAACAAAGAAAACAATACAAAAAAATCAATGACTCTAAGAGCTGTTTCTTTGAAAAGATAAACAAGATTGAGAGAACCCTTAGCCCAGTCAACCAAAAGAAGGAAAAAGCACCTACAGATCAACAAAATCAGAGATGAAAGGGTAAACATCACAACAGACACCAAAAAGATCCAGAATATTATAAGGGAAGACTTTAAAAACATACATACACTACTAAATTTGAAAACTAAAAGAAATGGATGTGTATCCAAAATCAATGAATTCACCAAAACCAAACCAAGAAGAGATCAACAGCTTAAACAGGCCCATAACATATTAGACAATTAAAATAGTAATACAATACCTTCAACTAAAAAATGCTCAGGTCCAGATGGATTTACAGTAGGATTCTACTAGATGTTTAAAGATCTATATCCAATACTACTTAATTTATTCAAAAAGATAGAAATGGAGGGAGAACTTCCAAATTCTTTCTACAAAACCAGCATCATTCTAATACCAAAGCCAGGTAAAGATATAACCAAAAAAGAAAACTATAGACCCATATCCGTAATGAACATAGATGTAAAAATTCTCAACAAAATACTTGCAAACCACATACAACACACATCAAAAAGAACATCCACCATGATCAAGTAGGCTTTATTCCAGAGACACAGAAATGATTCAATACACGTAACTCAACAGAAGTTATATATAAATGGACTCAAAGACAAGAACCACATGGTCATCTCAGTAGATGCAGAGAAGGCCTTTGATAAAATTCAACATGCATTCCTGTTCAAAGTCCTAGACAGAATTGGACGTGAGGGAACATACTTCAACATAACTAATGCTATATCCAACAAACCCACAGCCAACATCATTCTAAACAGAGAAAAACTGGAAGCATTCCCATGAAAAAATCAGGAAACAGACAAGGTATCCACTGTCTCTACTCCTTTTCAATACAGTGCTTAAAACTCTTGCAAGAGCAATAAGACAAGAAAAGGACATTAAAGGAGCAATAATTGGAAAAGAAGAGGTCAAATTATCCCCTTTTTCAGAAGATATAATATTATATTATATCTAAGCAAGGCCAAAATTTCTACCAGAAAATTCCTAGAAATGATTAATACTTTCAGTAAAGTGGTAGCTTACAAAATTAATCTACAAAAATCAGTAGGGTTTATATATACCAATAACAAGAAACCAGAGAAAGAGGACACAGAAACATTCCCTTTCACAATAGCTTCAAAACAAAACAAAACAAAACAAACAAACAAACAAAAAACTTGGAATAAACCTGACCAAAGACATTAAAGACCTCTACAATGAAAATTTTTAATCTTTAAAGAAAGACATTGAGGAAGACACCAGAAGATGGAAGGACCTCCCATTCTCATGCATTGGAAGAAGTAACATTGTAAAAGTGACCATCCTACCAAAAGCCATTGATAGATTCCAATGCAATGCCAATCAAAACCCCATGATATTCTTCACAGAATTCTAAAAAAAAAAAACTCATCCTAATATTCATATGGAAACAAAAAAAGACCATAGATAGCCAAAGCAACCCTGAGCACTAAGAGCAATGTTGGGGGGATTACTATACCAGATTTTAAACTGTATTACAGAGCAATAGTCATAAAAACAACACAGTACTGGCACAAAAATGGACTCATAGATCAATGGAACAAAATTGATGACCAAAATATGAGTACATGCAATTTCAGCCACCTGATATTTGACAAAGAGGCCAAGAACGTTCACTGGAGGAAAGACAGCGTGTTCAGCAAATGGTGCTGTCAAAACTGGCTCTCCACCTGTAGAAGAATGAAACTAAATCTCTATATTTCACTTTGCACAAAAGTCAACCTCAAATGGATCAAAGACCTCAATGTGAAACCTGAAACTCTGAAACTGTTAGAAGAAATCATTGGCAATACTTACAAGATATAGGTGTAGGAAAGAATTTTCTAAACCAGACTTCAGTTGCTCAGGAAACATCAAAAATCAACAAATGGGACCTCATTAAACTAAAAACTTTCTGTATATCAACAGAAGCAATGAAGGAAGTGAAGAGAAAACCCACAGAGTGGGTGAAAATCTTCACCAGCAACACATCTGACAGAGGCTTAACATCAAGAATATACAAAGAACTCAAGAAACAAATAATCAAGAAAACACGTAACCTTTTATTTAAAGATGGGCTAAGGATCTGAACGGGGAGTTCTCAAAAGAAGAAGTAAAGATGGCCAAGAAGCATCTTAAAAGGTTTCAGCATCATTAGTAATTAGGGAAATGCAAATTTAATCCACTTTAAGATTTTATCTTACCCCAGTCAGATTGGCTAAGATCAAGAGA